TTTGGGGAGGTAGCCCGCGCAGGCCTGGGCGAGAAGTCGCTCTCGCTGGATCGCGTCCGAGGCGCGCAGCTGTCGCAGCCGTCGCCACCGTCCGCCCCTGGTGGCCCCTGGGGGCCCAGACTGCTGCCCGGCGCCCAGAGCTGCCGCGGCATCCCCGCGACCCTGGGGGGAGCGGGGGGGGCTGCCCACGCAGACCCACGCTCGACCTCGCCCTCGTGCAGTCGAGAGGAAACAGATGGTGGTCGAGAGCCTCGGGATGGTGACTTGAGGACTCCCACCGTCAGAAACCGGGGAGAAACGCCAGGGCTCGAACTCTCGAGACATCGACCGTCTGGGACCTTTCCCCCGCCCCTCTCTTCCCCACCTCCCAGGGAGGCCGCAGGAAGCCCGCCTCATGGGTCCCGTTACCCGCCTGCTTCGTCCCGCCGGCCCTCGCCTCCCGCCTGCGCGGTTTGCCTGCGCCTGATTGCTTGCTTCGGGGGAGTCCAAGAGGGGAGCGTCCGAGAGGTGTGTGTGTGTGTGCAAATTATGGCCCAGGGCATGTGCGCGGACCATCTGGGGGGAGGCAGGGACGTAATGAAATAAGAAGAGGCGCTATGAATTCTGAGGAGATGCCATGCCCCCCCCAGATATCCCCCCCCCAGTCATGACCCCCCCCTCTTGGCCGCCCCAATTGCTTCTCCCTCCCTTTCTCCCTCTCCGCCGCCACGCAGCAAAGACTGCCAGGAGCACGCAGCGCCAACGAAGAGGCATCGCAGCGCCTGCCCCAGGAAGCTGCCTCCAGCGGCTTCCAGGGGCAGGAAGCAAGCGACCGCCCGCCGTCACGAGCCTTCCCCCGCTGCCTCACCCGTCGTCACCCCTCCTCCTCCTCCTCCTCCTCTCCTCCTCCTCCTCCTCCTCCTCCGCCTCCTCCTCTCTCCTCTCTCTCCCTCCTCCTCCTCCTCCTCCTCCTCCTCCTTCCTCCTCCTCTCCTCCCCATGCTCCGCTCCTGCTCCGCTCCTGCTCATGCCTGTGTCCTCCTCCTCCTCCTCCTCCTCCTCTCCTCCTCCTCCCACTGCTCCCTCCTCCTCTCCTCCTCCTCCTCCCCCTCCGGGCCGGTGCCCACCCTCTCACACACACGCCCCGTCGATTCGGGAGGGGAGGGCCGGCGGGAACTCCCCGCGCTGTCAGTATGTGCGGAAGCGCCCGGGGGCGGCAAGAAGAGAAGTGGGCACATGCCCCCACCTGGGCGCTCCTGATGCACAACGCCCTGGAGGCCCAAGAAGAGGTCAAGAACGCCCGAGCGCCTCGGGCCTCGATCATCGAGCCTCGGCCCCAGACCTCCGACGTCGTGATCTTTCCACAGAGTGGTTCCCCAGAGGTCTGGACCACTTCCTCGGGGCCAGCTTCTCGTCCCGCAGCTTCTCGTCCCGAGCCATTTTCTGACGGCCCCCGTGGTCCGGCGAGGGCTCCCAGAGGCCGACAAAGACCAACGGCCCGTCGTCGTGAGCTCCGTCGCAACGAGGGAAGGTGGGAGGGTCCCCCGCCTCCTCCTCCTCCTCCTCCTCCTCCTCCTCCTCCTCCTCCTCCTCCTCCTCCTCCTCCCACTGCTCCTGCTCCTGCTCCTGCTCCTGCTCCTGCTCCTGCTCCTGCTCCTGCTCCTGCTCCTGCTCCTGCTCCTGCTCCTCCTCCTCCTCCTCCTCCTCCTCCTCCTCCTCCCCCTCCCCCCAGGAGCAGCAATGAAAAGGAGGTGGGCACAGCCCTCGATCCCGGACCCTCGACCCTCGAGCCTCGAGCCTCCTCGGGGGCAGGGGCGGCCAGCACCGAGTCGGCACACATCGGGCCGGGTCGGAGCGTGCATCTCGCATCGCGCCGCATGGGCGCGGCGCCGCCGGCCCCGAGCCGAATATCGGCCGCGCTGGGGTGCACGGCAGCGCCAGGCGAGCACGCGGGCAGCATCGGAATCGTCAGGGCATCGGAATCGAATCGCATCGGGCAGGCCAGAATCGGCATCGAACCGGATCGATCGGATCGAATTGGGCCCTGCGGGGGTCCCGATCCTCAACCCTCGAGCCTCGATCCTCGAGCCTCCAACCTTTACCCTCGATCCTCGAGCCTCGAGCCTCGAACCTTCGAGCCTCGACCCTCGAGCCTCGATGTTCGAGCCTCGACCCTCGAGCCCCGCTCCTCGAGCCTCCCGGGGGGGCACCGCTCCTGGTGCACCACCTTGCGCTCCTTGAGCAGCCGTTGGAGGCGCGCCTTCGTCACCCTCTTCGGCAGCGCGTGCTCCGTGCGCTCGGCCTCCAGCACCGTCGTCGTCAATCGTCGTTGTCGCCCTCGCCGCCGCCACCGCCGACACCGACGCCGCCGCCGCCGTCTCTGCCGACGCCGCCGCCTCTGCCGTCGCCATCGTCGTCGTCGTCTTCGTCGTCGCCGTCGTCGTCGCCGTCGTCGTCGCCGCCGTCGTCAACATCGTCGTCGTCGTCGTCGTCGCCGTCGTCGTCGTCGGCGTCGGCCAACGCCCGTCCTCCGTTGTCGTCGTCTGTTGCGGTTGTCCGTTGTCGTCGTTTTCATGTTCTGTCGTCCGTAAAAGTTATCATCAAACGTCGTAGTGTCTGTCATCTGTTCCTGGCTTGAGTCGTCGTCGTCGTCGACGTCGTCGTCGTCGTCGTCGTCTGTTGTTCGTCGATCGCCGATCGCCGATCATCAGCCGTCGATCGTCGATCGTCGTCATCGACCCTCCTTGCCTGCGCGTGCTCACTTCGCGCCAGGTCCCCGCCTGCCCTCCCGCCCGCCCGCCCTCCTCATGCTCCTCATGCTTCCCCTTCCTCCTCCGCTTTCCCCTTTCTCATCCCTCTTCCACTCTCCTCCTCCTCCACCCTGGTGCTTCTCCTCCTCCCTGCGCCTCCACTCTCCTCCTCCTCCTCCTCCTCCTCCTCCTCCTCCTCCTCCTCCTCCTCCTCCTCCTCGTCCCGCCCTCCACCCTCCACCCCCCCTCCTCCACCGTCGTCCCCGCTTCCTCCTCATCATTCACCTTCACTCAACATCCTCCCTACCCTCCATCCTCCCTCCTCCCTCATCAACCCCCTCCTCATCCAACCCCCTCTACCGTCCTCCTCCACCTCCACCCTCCTCCTCATCATCCTCTCCTCCTCCTCCCCTCCTCTGCCACCCTCCTTCACCTCCTCCTGTCTACCTTCTCCTCCTCCTCCCGCCTCCGCCTCCTCCTCCCGCTCATCCACATCACGCCTCCACATCCTCCTCCCTCCTCCACCCTCCTCCCCCTCCTGCTCATCCCTTCTCCTCCTCTTCCTCCTTCTTCTCCTCCTTCTCCTCCTCCTCCTCCTCCTCCGCCTCCTCCTCCTCCACCCTGCTCCTCCTCCCTACGCCACCCTCGGGATTATTATTTCATCCATTGGGGGTTAACGCGTGTTACGGGGAGGGGGGCAGCGGGGGTGGAATAATGGTAGAAAGGTGACCGCAGCGAGCAGATCACAAGGCGCGCCTGCAGTACTGTCACAACAATCGCTTGTGTGCACCAGTCCCTGTGCATACAACAGCGCCCGCGTGCACCACAGCGTCTGTGCACACGACAATCCCGACGAGACCCACACTCCCCAAACTCGCTGTGGGCCCGAACGTATCAAACTCAACATGTAACCTAGTTGTGGTTGTTGACTTTTCTAGTCCCCAGGAGGCCCCCGAGAGGCTCTACAAAGCCAATCGGATGCCCCTAATTAGAGAGCCCTCCAAGAGGCCACTAAGATGCATGCATCCCACAGGCCAGGCACGGTGGCACGACTCTTGACGAATTCGGTAGTATGCGGTCGGCGGGATGGCGTAAGCCTCTTGAATCCAACCAGCCCTTCAGGGCGTGAGTGGTTTAGAGTGGTCCTCTTCCAATCCCCTCTCTTCCCTTCGGGGAGGGGTTCACCGCTCACCCTGACCCGATTGGAGCGTCCAGGAAGGTCTCGGCGAGAAGGCGCCAGCCACTGGTGTTGCTAAGGATTTGAACACAGTTCGGCCTCCTGGGGAGGGCTGTAATTAACCCCCCCTTTCTTGCATCGATCTCCTTCACAACAGCCCCAAGATGGCCCCCAAGGCTCCCAAGGGCGCCCCACAGCGGTCCCAAGAGGCACCCAGGAGGCCGAAAGAGGCCCCAAGAGGTCCCCAAGAGGCACCCCAAAGACACCAAAAAGGTCTCAAGAGGCTCTCCCGAGGCACCCAAGACGCTCCACGAGGCCAGTGGGACCACCACGAAGCCCCCAAGACGCCCAAATAGGACACCAAGCAACTCCCAAGAGAAATCCGGAGAGACTCCGAGACACATCCAAGAGGCATAAGGCCCATCTTGGGGTACGGCAGCTTCCCCAGCCCTTCATTCCACTACATGCTCCTCCACATTCCTGATCAGGGCAACTCGCCTGGGCATGGTTTCTGGATGGGCTGGTGGGGTTACTTTTTTTGGTCGCGGCCGCGAGACAAGCATCAGGCGGCGAGGGCAACGTCCGGGCCACGGGCGAGGCGAATTCGCTAGAGCAGAGGCGCCGGCTGGCCCCCTCAGATGGCTGCTGGCTGGGTGACGCTGAACGGCAGGCGTACTGCGAGCGCAGGCACGTGCACTGGACAAAATGACCAGAATTCAATAGGGGTGAGTCGCCGATGTGGCGCCAGACTCCACACGGACGATCTGCCTAAGGCAAGCCAGCTGAGCAGTTGTGAACCGTGGTGCAGCGCACCGGGGGGGGTGAAGGTGGGCCTGATGGGCTGTCATGACGCTGAAGGCTGAACCACTCAACACGCTGGTCAGCCCCGCTTGGACCGCCTCACAGTGTCGGGGGGTCCCGTGCGACTGTGGCCCGCCCAGCGCGCGCCGACACGGTGCGGCCTCTGGGAGTGGGGGAACCCGCTGGCGTGGTGAGCATCGCCGACGGGAAATGAGAAGGGGTTTTGCACAGGAGTGGAGGTACCGCGATGCGAGCCGGACCTGGTCAGGGTCTCCGCGGGCACACGCTGAGCAATACCTCGAGGGGCACGCGGCGACGGTACGGGCGATGTGGTGTAGTCGCAAAGCGGTGTGCCGGGAGGGCTGCATGTGAGAAGCAGGGGGGCCGCCAACTGCCAGCCCGGCCACGGCCGCCGCAGGCACATGCCACCCGGGCTCTGAGCCCGCCACCGTGAGCCACGCGTCCCACCAGGGCCGCACCGACCCGCCGCGGGGGGGGGAAACCAGCCCCACGCGGCGATGGGCGAGGGGGGCCCAGGGAGGGGGGGGGCCACCCACAACGCTGCCGGAACGCCGGTGGCCCCCAGAGCCCAGGGCGGGGGACACCCGTCTGGCTCCAGCAGAGGGAGGCGAGGGGACAGTAGGTCCCCCCGCTGCCCTCAGGTACTCCAACTCTGAAGCGTCTATAAAATGATATGTGGTTGTTGATTTTACTGGCTGGGGTTGTGGTCCACCCTTTGTTTTGGGGCCGCAATGCCCGCGTGCACCACAACGCCTGCACAACATAACGCTTGCGCAAACCACAACAGCCGTGTGCACCACAACGCCTGGCGACTGCGACCACCACCATGCTTGCGTACACCGTGCACCACAAAACCGTGTAATTACACTTGACAAGGTCCGACCCAAACTCCTGAAAATCGTGGCAGACCAGAACCTATTACACTCAATGCGATGCGCGAGTTGTGAGCTACTTGCGATTATCGGTCTCTGGCCTGCGGCACGGTCCGCCATTTATTTTGGGCCCGCAGCGCCTTCGTGCAACACAGCGCTCGTGCACAACACGATGATTGCGCCACCACAGCAGCCGTGCGAACCACAGACCCTCGCGCCTGCTTTCACCACAGCGCTTGCGTACACGCCTGCGTACACCACCAAGTCCCGACTGGGAGCACCAGCCCCAGCCCTGGAAAATCGCGTCGTGAGCCCGCAGACGTATCAAATTCAACATGTACGCTAATAGTGGTTACTGATTTGCTTGGCCCAGAGTCGGAGGTTGGGGGGTGAGATCGAAGTGGAACGGAGAGCCCCCCACAGGGAAATCGGTTTCGGTTTCGTGTTCGTGCGTGCCGTGCGTGCGGGCGAGGCGAAGCTGCGTGGGCGGGCGAGAAAAAAGACTCCTGTGGCTGAGGCGCGGCGGGACCAAATGATTCCCCCCCGGCAAACGGGGCCGCGCGGTGTCCCGCCGGTGTCCCGCTGGTGTCCCGGTAAGTCTCCTGTGGCTGAGGCGCGGCTGGACCAAATGTTTCCCGACAGGCAAACGAGGCCGCGCGGTGTCCCGCCGGTGTCCCGCCGGTGTCCCGCTGGTGTCCCAGTGTCCCGCTGGTGCGAAAACGATCGTGAGACCGATAGTGAGATCGATTGCGAGATCGATTGTGAAATCGATAGTGAGATCGATAGTGAGATTGATCGAGTGAGATCGATGGTGAGATCGATTGTGGGATCGATCGTGAGAGCGATAGTGGGATCTATGGTGAGATCGATTGAGTAAGATCGATCGTGAGATCGATCGAGTGAGATCGATAGAGAGATCGATAGTGAGATCGATAGTGAGATCGATGGAGTGATATCGACAGTGAGATCGATGGAGTGATATCGATAGTGAGATCGATAGTGGGATCGAAAACGAGATCGAGAGTGAAATCGATCGAGTGAGACCGATAGTGAGATCGATCGAGTGAGATCGATATTAAGGTCGATAGTGAGATCGATCGTGGGATCGATAGTGAGACCGGTAGTGATGTGCAAATCGATAGTGAGACCGATAGTGAGACCGATAGTGAGATAGTTCCCGGGGGGGGGACTGGTACCAAGGCGCCCAAGAGCAGAGGGTGACGTAAACAACTCGACATCAAGGCTCCCAAGAGCGAGCGGCAACGCAACAATCTCCACTGGCATCGTCAGAACAGCAATCACCATTGTTGCCCATTGCTGTCCCCCTCCCCCCCCCAACCTCCTTATCACCCGCAGGGTGGTCGTATAGGTACAATCCACCACAATGCTTTCAAACACCACAACGCCTGTGTACACCCCGATGCTTGCGCAACCACAGCAGGCGTGGCTGCATCTTCCTCTTCCTCCTCCTCCTCCTGCTCCTTCTGCTCCTGCTCCTGCTCCTGCTGCTCCTGCTGCTCCTGCTGCTCCTGCTGCTCCTGCTGCTCCTGCTGCTCCTGCTGCTCCTGCTTCTTCTTCTCCTCCTCCTCCTCCTCCTCCTCCTCCTCCTCCTCATCATCATCATCATCATCGTCGTCATCATCATCATCATCATCATCATCATCATCATCATCATCATCATCATCATCATCATCATCATCATCATCATCATCATCATCATCATCATCATCATCATCATCCCACTCGGATTTCAATAGATGGCTCTAAGGAAGGAGTCTGGTTTGTATCCATAGGAACTGCATGGTGGAGGCCCTACAAGGTGCATGGGGGGGGCCCTACACGGTCCTATAGACGCTGAAAGAAGGATTCACGCCTGTGGCTGGTCTCCAAGCGTCACCCTTAATGGGGGGGGTCGGGGGGGGTAACACGCGTTATCCCCTGAGGAACTACAAGAACGAGGTCCTCCTCCTCCTGCTCCTCCGTTCCTCCTGCTCCTCTTCCTCCTCCTCCTCCTCCTCCTCCTCCTCCTCCTCCTCTCCTCCTCCTCCCCTCCCTCATCCTCCTCCTCCCTGCTCCTCCTCCTCCTCCCTGCCGCCTCCTTTCCTTCCTCTCCTCCTCCTCCTCCGCTCCTCCTCGCCCCTTCTTCCCCGCCCTCCTCCGCTCCTCCTCCTCCGCTCCTCCTCCGCTCCTCCTCCTCCTCCGCTCCTCCTCCGCTCTCCTCCACTCCTCCTCCGCTCCTCCTCCACTCCTCCCGCTCCTCCTCTCCTCCTCCTCCTCCTCCTCCTCCTCCTCCTCCTCCTCCTCCTCCTCCTCCTCCTCCTCCTCCTCCTCCTTCGGGTGGCAGCCCTGGGGATGTTCGCCCTCTCCCCCCCCTCCCCGAGGCGAGCGAGCAGTCGGGCGCTCGCCGGGCTCCACGCCCCGGTCCCCCTCGGGCCCCCCCACCCTGACGTGGGCCAGGTCCGCGGCGAGGGGAGGGAGGACTATACGCGTCGGTCGGAAGAAGCGGGCAGCAACATGAAGTACGAAGGCGTTGGAAGCAGATCGGGCTTCCGCCCGCCCCCTAAAGAAGGAACAAGCCCCCGATGGCTGAGGCAGAAAGGCGCCTGGAGTAGACTGGGACATGAGAATCCAGAAATACCCACTTTCAGCGACAGGCGTGTAGGGCGGCGGCGGATGGGGCGCAACTTTTCCTTCCGCCGGCTTCCGCCGGCGGAGCCGCCCCCGTTCGACTTCCGCCGGTGACGCCGGCCTCGCGCCGCCCCCCGCCGAGGAAGACAGGGCGGCTCCCTCGACCCTCGAGGGCGAGGCCCTCTCGGGAACGCTCCGCGCGAGAATAGCACGGCGGCGGGCTTTGGACCGCTTGTGGCCTGCACGGGCCCTCGCAGGGCCCCGGGGCCATCGCACAACGATTCGCAGCGAGAAGGCGGTCTCGGAGCGAAGGAGCCAGATCTCAGGGACGCCATGCCGATGTAAGAGATCACGACGTATAGGGGGGGCCCTGGCTCCCCTACCGGTGGGCATGTGGAGGCCGACGGACTTCAAGCGACGTCAGCTCACCACCTCGCAAACCCTGGTGTCGGCCCATCCTGGGCCAAGGATTTGTGTATGCGCCCTCCTGGCTTGGCCATGGAGGCGCGTGCAGCTTCGCGGGTGGAGGGCGGGTCGTTTTCTCAAGGTTTGCACGAGCTTCGCGAATGGAGGGCGAGTCGTTTTCAGAATGTGGCCCTCGCCAGAGCGCCGCGCGCATTCGTTGTAAATATTGAGCTTCGCGGATTGAGGGCGGGTCGTTTTGAAATGTGGCTCTCGCCTTAGCGGCGCGCACATTCGTATTCGAAGCTTGCAAGAGCTTCACGGATTGAGGCCAAGTCGTTTTCAAAATGCGGCTCTCGTCGTAGCGCCGCGCACATTCGTTCTAAACATTGCAAGAGCTGCTTGGCGGGTGGAGGGCAGGTGGTTTTCAAAATGTCGCTCTCGCCTTCGCGCCGCGCTAATTTGTCTTTAACGTTTGCAAGAGCTTAACGGATTAAGGGTGGGTCGTTTTCAAAATGCGGATCTCGCCAGAGCGCCGCGCGCATTCGCTTTAAAACTTCGCAAGAGCTTCGCTGAGGGCGGGCCATTTTCGAAATGTGGCTCTCGCCTTAGCGCCGCGCGCATTCGTTTTGAAAGTTACGTTTGTATATGTTCTTCGAATGCCCACGGTTAACGTACCAGAAGCGGTGCTCTGGACCGATTCATGATTGTCAGGGCGCAACAGTTGCTTTGATTCGCGGTGTTGAATTCGAATGGCATTGTGGCACGACTCAGGATCACCAACACCTCACAAGCAATTTAACTCGTGGCGTTGAAATCCAGAACTGTGTTTTGGCACGCTTCAGGATTTGTACACGGTTGTCCACCAGAGGGGCAGTTCCCTGAGGAAATCAACCTTCGTAGGGGCCTACGAAGAGGAAGCTCACAAAGAGGGTGTATTCCACCATCGTTGACGAGTCTTGGGTTTGCACTGGTCCTCTTCCTCCTCCTTCTCCTCCTGCTCCTTCCTCCTGCTCCTTTTTTACCTCATCCTCCCGCGCCTCCTCTTTCTCCTCCTCCCTCCTCCTGCTGCCGGACGCACGGCCCCGCTACCCCGAAGGCGCCTTGGAGCGGAGCACCTCGGCGTAATGCTCCGTCAGGTTCGCCACCTCGCGGGGCTTGCACTGCAGCTGATTCTTGCGGTGCCGCAGCTTGTCGCCAACCAGCACCTGAAGGAAGCGCGCGCGAAAGCTCGGCGACCCTCAGAGAGCGTGTTGGCGCCAACGTGTGATTGTCCTCCGAGGCCCTTCAGCACGGCGCAGACGCTGCCATGATGGCCAGTACAGGCTGGGTGCCATCGCGCTGGAGCTGAACAAGGAAACGCGCACACATTGGGCTAACTCTTTTTCGTAAGCGGCGAGGCGGCGAAATCCGCACCAGCGCAACAGCTAATTATGTAGGGGCACTAACTAGCGAATTGGCCGGCGTGCAAGCAGGGAGGGGGGAGGCCGACGAGGAAGGAGTGACGCTCAGACGCCGAAGAATTCGACGATGAGCAGCCCGCGGGCGGCAGCAGCCAAAGCATTGGGCTAACACACGCCTCCGCCTGCCCGGTGCTTGCCGAGGCGTTGGCCCCTCGAGATGTTGACCGGCTCGCCGTGGCTTGATGGGCCTGTTTTCCACCAACCACCACCACCATAAGTTGGAGGGGGAAGGAGGAGGATGAGGAGGACGAAGAGGAGGAGGAGGAGGAGGAGGAGGAGGAGGAGGAGGAGGACGAAGAGGAGGAGGAGGAGGAGGAGGAGGAGGAGGAGGAGGAAGAGGAGGAGGAAGACCCCTCCAACTGATGGTGGTGGTGGAAAGCGGGCCCATCATGGCCGGCTCTTCGCCACATGCCGTCCTTCGACGGTCCTGGGCGCCGCGGCCCCCAGACGGCGGCACGACTGGTGCTCGAGTCGCCAGGGAGGCCTGGGTCGCCCGAGGTCTGTGGAGGGGCACCACAGCAGTGCCTGGAGGCCCCACGAGGCCTCCTGGGGCCCAATCTGGCGCCCAAAAGCAGCGGCCCTCAATCCTCGCCCCAGACGGCGGCACGACTGATGCTCGAGTCCCCAGGGAGGCCTGGGTCGCCAGAGGCTCTGGAGGGGCACCACAGCAGTGCCAGGAGGTCCCACGAGGCCTCCTGGGGCCCAATCTGGCGTCCAAAAGCAGCGGCCCTCGATCCTCGCCCCAGGCGGCGGCACGACTGATGCTCGAGTCGCCAGGGAGGCCTGGGTCGCCAGAGGTCTGTGGATGGGCACCACAGCAGTGCCTGGAGATCCCACGAGGCCTCCTGGGGCCCAATCTGGCGCCCAAAAGCAGCGGCCCTCGATCCTAGAGCCCCACGTTGCGAATCCGCTCGCAACGGTTCCTGAGACCCTACGACAGGAGTCTAATCATGACTGGTTTTTCGAACTGCACTCAGCCGCGGCAGCAAGAAACTGGAGAAACGGCAGAAAGAAATTCCGAAACCACATCGTCATCGTCGTGGATCAATCCTCTCACCTCCTCGTCGTCATCGTCGCCGTCGTCGTCCTGGAGTCCCCCTCCTTATTCTTCTTCTCCTCCTCCTCATCCTCCTCCTTCTCCTCCCCCTCCTCCTCCTCCTCCCCACCACCACCATCATCATCATCATCATCATCACCACCACCACCACCACAACCACCACCACCACAACCACCACCACCATCATCATCATCATAATCATCATCATCGTCATCATCATCATCATGATCCTCATCATCAGCATCAGCATCATTATCATCATCATCATCATCATCATCCTCATCCTCATCCTCATCCTCATCCTCATCATCATCCTCATCCTCATCCTCATCCTCATCCTCATCCTCATCATCCTCATCATCATCATCATCATCATCATCATCATCATCATCATCATCATCAGCATCAGCATCAGCATCATCAGCATCAGCATCAGCATCACATCAATCAGCATCAGCATCAGCATCATCAGCATCAGCATCATCATCATCATCATCATCATCATCATCATCATCATCATCATCATCATCATCATCATCATCATCATCATCATCATCATCATCATCATCATTATCATGGTCGTCGTCGTCGTCGGTTTCGATCCTCTCACCTCCCCCCCGGATTCTTCGAGCCGGCCGGGGCCCAGGGAGGCGCCCGAGCACGGCATGCGCTCTCTCAGGAGGAGGGCAGCCGTGGGACCACGTCGTCGCAGAATTCGGCTCCAGCGGCGCCGGGGGGCCCTCCAGGGGTGGGAAGGCCCTCCCAGCCAACGCTATGCGACGAAGGCCCGTGGCTGCAAAGAGAGCGCGTGGTCGTCCGCTCACGGGTGGCGCGGGGTCGGCTCCTTCCGGCCCGTGGCTCCCTGGAACTCGCAGGCCCCGAGGTGCCAGCGATAGTAGCGTCAGAAGGTGGTCGCTATGTATCGTGCACCGCCGTCTTGATCCCGCAATTCGAATTCCGGCGGCCATGGTGCCCACTGGTGCTGGCGCTGCTGCTTGGACCGACAGGTCTCCCAAACCAGGACTTGGACTGGGGCCCCAACTGGACTGCGGGAAGTATCGCCGCAGCGACGGGGTGCGCAGTACTCCTTTGCTGCGAGCAGCGAGACGAGAGAAGCAGGCAGCTGACTCCAGCAGCAAGCTGCAGAACACACGTATGGGCAGGGAAAGAAAGGAAGGCAGGGACAGAGGCGACGAAAGCAGGATCGATGTTGGCGACGAAGAGTGTGAGAATACCTAGTAATACCTATTTGCCCTCGCTTTCGCTCCGAATGGTCCTCATCCGTGGAGGGTCGGCCCGAGCGCCAGGTCGCCGTCGTCGCCGTCGCCGTCGTCGTCGTCGTCCCTCCTCCTCCTCCTCCTCCTCCTCCTCCTCCTCCTCCTCCTTTTCCTCCTGTTCTTCACTCTCATCCTCTCATCCTCTATCCTCCGCCACTCTCCTCCTCCATCCCCTCCTCCTCATCCTGCCCATCCTCCATCTCATCCTTCTCATCTTCTTCCTCCTGCTCGTAATCCGCGGCCCTGGCACCAGGCCCGTTTTAGGTGTGGTGCCCGTCGGGGCGGAACGGCACGACGAGGGGTGCGCGCCCATCAGGGGATTCGTTCTCTGCGCCCGGGCGGAAGGCCAAGGACCACCCGGGTGCTGGCGACAGGGCGCACCCCCAAAAGCAAAGACGAGGAGGAAGAGGAGGAGGAGGAAGAGGAGGAGGAGGAGGAGGAAGGGAGGAGGAGGAGACGAGGGAGGGAGGAGGAGGAGGAAGAGGGGTAGGAGGAGGAAGAGGAGGGAGGGAGGGAGGAGGAGGAGGAGGAAGAGGAGGATGAGGAGGAGACGACGACGACGACGAAGATGACGACGACGACGAAGACGACGACTAAAACAAAAGACCTGGAAGGGAGGAGGGAGGAGGGAGGGGAGATCACGTCGGCGGTGCTGCTGCGGCAGCGCGCGGCGCTGGCGCTGCTGCGCATGTTTTCCCTTCGCGCAGAGATCCATCAACGACGCCCCCCGCCCCGACTGCGCATCGAATCCGCTTCCCCACAATGGGGCCATAGCCGCCCCCATTGCAGAGTCCCTGCCGCCTCCTGGCAACGAGCGCGGAAAAAGGGGCTCGAATCGTTGTGAAACTCCATGTCGGCAGAGGTCGAACGTGGCCGGCGGGGTAAACGTCACCACATCCAGGGAGGAGGGGCAGGAGGAGGAGGAGGAGGAGGCAATGGGAGGGGGAGCGAGTATAAGAGGCGGCCAAAGAAAATAGACAGAGGCGATGTGTGGGCACCCCCAGCGGCCCAAACGACCCACACATGTTAAAGCCTCACACACACACAACCAGCGGACAGAAGCCTACCACATCGTCTGCTTACGGGCCGTGCAGCTTCGCATATGAGGAATAGGACCCCGCATTATCTTCCTCACGGCGTGCCCCGCGCACGCTCGGGAAGCGCTACCTCCGCGAGCCTAGCAGGCGAAGTCAACGGCGCCGACAGCTTGCACACTACAAAAGAAACCAGCAGTCAGAATCCTAACTCCGTGAATGACCTCGTAAGCTTACAATCCCAGCACAGACAACAGGAGCGAGGAGGGAGGCGAAGGAAGAAGAGGGAGAAAGCAGAGGTCAGGAGCAAACAAGCGCGCGGTGGAAAGGACTGCGTGCGAAGGATGCGGCGCCGCACCTGGGGGGAGCAGGGGGACGGGAAGCCCTGAGCGCAAACCGCCCCCGACGCCCCCCAAGCGGTGCACGCCACCCCCAGACCGGGGGGCATCAGGAGGTGATGAGCTAAAAGACTAGAAAGCATGCAACGCCATGCTGTGAGCGAACCGGGGCGGAAGGAGGAAGGGACAGGAAGAGCACGGGGCCGCGCCCGAAGCGCTTGCGCTGCTGCCCTCACCGGGCGCGCTCCTGCTCCTCCTTCTGGTACTCCCAATCATGCTGCCTGTGAAAATCGACGAGAGCCGATACAGATGCACTGGTAGTCCAGCGAGGCTGCGGCGTCCTCGGCGCCAGAGTTGGAGTAAACACCCGTGGTTGCAGAGGGGGTCGCAAGCGGCTTACACCCAGCAAGAGCGCGACACCTTTTGGCGCCCAGCCAGCAGGCGCGGCGTGCGCGCGATGCGCAGCTCGAAACGCAGCGGTCTGGACGTCGGGGCGGCGACCGTTCAGCTCGCAGCCCACTTCTGCTCCTCCGTCGCTGCGCCGACGCGAACGGGCTGGTCACGCTGGTGCTGCTACATGCTCTGGTGTTTGCTGCCAGTCGTGCTGGCCGAGCTGGTGCCGCGGCGCGCGGCGGTTGCGGCGGAGCGGCTGCCGCCGCCCGGGGCCCCAGCCACTGCTCGCACACTGTGCTGGCACGCTGGTCGGCGCGGGAGTCGGCGAGCTGGTCGGCGCGGAGGTCGGCGAGCTGGTCGGCGCGGGGGCCGCCAAGCGGGTCGATGCGGGAGCCAGCGCCCTGCGCGGGAGTCGGCGAGCCTTTCGGCGCGGGAGTCGGCGAGCTGGTCGGCTCGGGAGCCGGTGAGCTGGTGGTCCGTGAGTCGGCGAGCTGGCTGGTCGGTGCGGGAGTCGGTGAGCTGGTCGGCGATGGAGTCGGCGAGCAGGTCGGCGTAGGAATCGGTAACTCAGCCAGCGCGGGAGCTGTCAACCAGGTCAGTGTAGGAATCGATGAGCTGGTCGGTGCGGGAGTCCTCGACACCGGCT